AAAATATAAATATCACTTGAAATGCAACACAATATCTTTCATACAACAGTTACCTTGGATAACACAGTAAGTCGCCTTAATCTGAAGAATTATTGATTGCAAATGTGACTTTAAATACAGACAAAGCTATAGAGAGCAAAGCTACAGTATCTGAAGAAAAAGAAATCTCTTGTGCTCAATTTAATCTCACTTTTCTCTGCTTGAATTTGGGAATAGAAACTGCTTCGCTAATTGAATAAATAATAACGATCCCCAAATATTCTTAATTACTGACTACGATAAACATACTCCCAAATTCTAAGAACAAATAAGAAAATAAAGTTTATAACCAAATATTTCTGTTATATGTGTTCTTGTTAACATATATACCTTGATTATATTAAGGTAATTGAGAAACAGGGAACTGGTGCTGAACTAAATTTCAGACTGGATTCTCAAATCTTTTTTTTTTTACTTACATCTAATTTTCTGGGGTTTTTTTGGGGGGGAAGAGGGTGGCAAATTTTGATAGCATTAGCTGTCATCTAATTAAGTTCTTTGAACCTATTGGTGTATGTGGAATCAATAAGTGCTTAAAACACATTGAAACAATGTCAGTGCTGATATAAAAAAGCAGCCATTAAGACTAAACTATTTTCATAGAGATTACAGGAAGGTGAAATTAGCAATTACAGTAAGATTACAACTTAGGTTGGAATCAGTGTTAATGCAGAAAACATTTCCGGACATTCTCCCTAAGTACCCCGTGGAATGAGAGCTGAGTCCCTCCACTTTAACAAGATGTGGTGAAAAATTGGTGCAAAATCTCAGAGGACCAAATTTGCTTTATCTCTTTCCCACACTTACTAGTTCGTATCGCCGTTTTGGTCCTAGCCTTTTTTGTTTTTAAAGAGTTTCTGCTGTTTCTCTGGATTTTTCTACCGTCTGTTGTTGCATTCCAGTCCACATGAAAGAAGCAGCGGGACTCTGGTTTAGGCCGACGGGAGCAGAGACGGTTTCTGAAGGGTCTGCTACACTCCCGGGAACAAGCCGGTGCCAGCGGTTTGGGAGTCACCGGGTCTGGGCGCTTAGGATGCGGCCGCCCGGCTGGATCCCTCTGCGCGGAGCCTGCTGGCGCGGCAGGCACCTGGGCCCCAGTCTGCCCGGCCCCCAGACGCCCTCTCTGGTCTCCCAAATCTGAGCCCCCACCTCCCCTCCCAGCCCACCTTCCGACCGGGGCGTGAACCGAGGGCGGCTGCTCCCGCGGCCCGGCTCCTCGCCCTCCCAGGCCCGTGCTGCCCGGCCTCCAGGGCACAGTACGCCTCTGCCGTTCTCTGCATCAGGGGCCCCGCGCAGGGCGGGCACGGAGTGGAGCGAAGAGTCAAGATTCCGGAGATGAATTGCGGGGCAGTGCGGGGCAGGGAGGAGACCGGGGCTTTCGCCTGCAAGGGGACCAGGGTTCGCTGTGCCGCCGAAGCCTGGGTTCTCGGGCACCGCGCGGGGGGCGGGGAGAACGAAATGCAGCCGGGGAGGAAGAACGCGCTCTCAAGCCTCTCTGCGATCGTGCGTGCGTGGACTGGGGTCCTTTAGTTCGACGTCGGCCGGGTCGCGGCCACGTCCTGTCCTCGCAGTGACCGTCCTAGGGAAACGCCGAGCGGAGTCCAGGGCAAAAGGCTGGGAGACTGGAGGCGCGCGCGTACTCAGTGCTTCCAGCCCGGGGCCCGGACCCCGGCCCGCTCCAGGCCTCGGCCTCGGCCTCTGCGACCCAGAGAGGCCCAGGCAGGAGAAAGTCGCGGACGCCCATGGGGCTGTGCTTCAAAAACCAGACAGGGCCAGGTATCTCTGCCTCAGAAGGACCCTCGAGAGAGTTTCTTAATTTCTGCAAGTCACAAATGTCTGAGCTGCATAATGGGGATCCTATAGTGTCACTCGGTGCTGGGAACGTTTAATGCCGAGTCTGGCGCAGAGAGCAGGGAACAGAGGCTGGCCGTTGTGGTTACCGTCACGGCGGGCAGGACCACGGCGTCTCTCTTCCGAGTTTCCCTCCTGCTCTCGCCCCGGCCTCTCTGAGCCCCCAGGCCCTCGCGCTCCGCTCCTCCCGGAGGCTCTGGACGCAGCCAGCTTTCTGGCCTCGAGACGAGACCGAGGGTCGAGAACCACCCCGACACTAGACCCCGGCGCGCACTTCGGAAGCCACGGACCCTGTCCGCGCGGATTTTAAATGGACCGCAGCTCTTGACCAAGGCCGCGGCCAGAGGCCAGCACCGGGGTGGGCAGAAGGCGGGACTCAGAAGGCGCCGCAACGACGCCCTTGCGCAGAACCCCCGGGATCCGGAGCCTGGCGTTCCGCGCGGCCCGGGGCGCAGCCAGGCCTGGTCACCGCGCTGAGCACGGTGCCGCCTGTCCACATTCCGCCGCCCACCCTCCCTGCCTAGGGGGCTGCGGAGTCACGGCAACGCCCGGGACGTGCCAGCCCGGCCCGCAGTGAGGGCTCGGCGAGTTCTCGACATTATCAGTGGTTCGCTCGGGCCCCACTACGACCGGACCTCTCCACGCGGTGGCCGCGCTTCTGGACAGGTGGATCCGAAGCGCCACCTTCGGTCGGAGAACGATGTTTAATTTACTCTTCCAGTGAACTGATGTTTTTCCTGAAAATTCATTATTCGACATAGTTTCATTAGGTAGAAATTAGGAGCTTGGGGGCCGGCTCCAGGCAGGTTACGACCCGCAGTCACCAATGTTGGCGGCCGTACTGGTCTGGCCGCGGCGAAGGCGGGAAAGAGGTGGGAAAGAGACCTCGCCGTCTCCTGCGAGACGCGACTGTGCTGGGAGAGCCTCGGGGTTGCAGGAGGCTCCACCTGGTGCCCCGACGACGACGACGACGTTTGTGGGCCGGAAAACAAAAACAAAAAAAAACGAATGTGGGCCTGGAGATGTTTTCGCATGAAGGGCAAGGGAGAGTTGGAATGTGAATGGCTCCCTTCATTCTCGGCTTCTTTCCAAACTCTTCGGTTGGCCCAGACCTGGAGAATTAGCTAAGTCGATCTTAAAGCGGAGGTGCAAAGTGTCAGATAGACTGAGTTCGCGAATGGCCAAAGCCCAAGGAGGGAGAGGTGGATGAAGGAGAAAGAGGTTTGGGGAGGGTCGCCTGCAGCCCAAGGATAGGAGCCCAATGTGTGGGACTGGCGGCGCTGCTGTACAGGCAGGCGAAGGCTGCAGGTGCGGAGCAGAGGGTAGACTCCGAACTTCGAACTTCGGCGTCCCAGCGGCTGCCAAAGGTCGGGCTTGGCGACTTTCCCGAACGTCTCTGGAATCGCACTACCAAGTCCCGAGGAGGTAAGGACTGCAGGCGGAACGTGCCGAAGAAGCTCTGAGTGATGGGGTGGAGATGAGAAGCTGGAGTGAGAACGGACCGATTAAATGGTTGTAAATACATGTGTCTCTATCATCCCTCCCTCCTGTAACGAGAAATTCATAGCTGGGGCTGAGGAGTAGCTGAAGGGGGGCGAACTTCTTCACATTCACAGGGTGACTTCTTCCAAAACTGACCTGAAAGTAATTCTTTAAGAAAAGGAAAGGGAAAGAAAGAAAAGAGAGGAGTGGAGGGGAGGAGCAGGGAAGGGAAGAAGAGAGGGGAAAATTAGTTTGTTCAAGAGCGGGAAGGTCTCTAGAAATTTGCATCCTCTGGCGGCGTATTTCCTGATGGGCATCTTGGTCTTCTTTCCCTCCCGCCCAGTCACCTGAAGTCGAGTACAGTGAACTCTTTCTGATCGCAACGTGGTTTCGGAAATTAACTCTTTCGAAACAAAAAAGTTACTTTCTGGTCTAAAGGGAGAGAATAGGAGTCCCTAAAAGTCACTTTCCCAGAAAGAGAATTTTTAAAATTGTAAATATCCAAAACATGAATGCTTCTTTGATATAGCCCTTTTCTTTGGGCCCTCGTTCTAATGCTTTTTTAAAATACAGCCCTGGCTGGTGTGGCTCAGTGGATTGAGCCCCCCCCCCTCCCCCGGCCTGCCAACCAAAGGGTCACCTCAGGGCACATGTCTGGGTTGGCGGCCCGGTCGGGGGGCGGGGGGGGATGCGTGAGAGTCAACCACACATTGATGTTTCTCTCCCTCTTTTTCTTCTTCCCTTGCCTTCTCTCTAAAAATACATAAATAAATAAATCTTTAAAAAAACCTTCCTCCCATACTCAGCAATCGTTGGCTTTCCAAATTGATTTCAAATAGTCCTCCAAATTATTCAGCAGAAAAATAAACATCTTTAGGAAGATAAAAAATAAATGGAGACCACATTTACATTTCCTCTAATTATTTTATACTGTAGGTTTTATATATATTAAACCCCATACTTCCAAAGACAGGTCTGTTTCAACTTCAAATACTTGGAAGTTTTAAAAGTCATTTTGAAAGTGAGATGTTTATAATGAATAAAATTGTAAAACTAAATTGTTTAATTGGGGGGAAAGAACTATTTTTAAAAGAAGTTCCATTTAGAAAGCAAATAGTGAGAAGTAATATAAAATAAATGATGTCGTGTTATGATTTAGCACTTTATTTAGTCTACATGGCTGGGTTTAATTTTAACACCTTTCCATGGAAGTTGGCACATCGGAGACACAAATCAGAAATAAATGCTCTGAGGTTAAAATTCTACTTACATTACACATCCCTTTCAGGAGGACATAAAGGACAGGAGCACTTTGTACTGGGCTTGGGAATGATACCGGCAGTTCCTAGGGAGTGAAAAAGGGAAAACACGTTGTGCGTTGCACACTGTATGTTTTTCTTTGCGCACCAGAACGAAATGCCCCACTCACGTTCGTCGCTCCTCTGAAACTATGCAAACCGGAAACACCCTAGAAACCACAAGTGGAGGCTGGAAAAGGCGAGCCTAGACGCCATGGGAAGTTTACGTTCATGTTGTCTAAGGAAACAGTACTCAACTTTTCGTTTGTAAATGTTTCGCAGCTAACAGAAATTAGTGGTTGCTTTGCTGCGGGATGCTAACGCAGACACCTAGTCCGGGCTGTGCGAGGTGCAGTGTTCAAGGACAGGCGGCTGGGAGAGAAGGACGGGGTCTCCCTGCCCTTCCTCTTCTCCCCAGATCCCCTTGCAGCCTGACTTCCGCCTGGAGCCCTCTGCTCCGGGCTGACACCCCAGCAGCGCAGAAGCGGATAGGTGCTGGCCCAGCAGCGCGCCTTTGCTGGCCAAGTCCTGGTGCTGCTGCTGCTGCTGCTCCAACACTGTCTGAGCTGCGGATGCGGCTGCCACGGCAGAGGCGGCAGACACGTGGAGCAAGGGGGCAGCGGCCTGGGTGTGCAATGGGCACGATGGGCGTTGCAGCAGGTGACAGTAGCTCCATGGATTCGGGGACAGACTCTGGGAGGTCTCTGTACCCCCTCCTCCGACTCCTTGCATGATACTCTCAATGCTGAAGGAGGTGCATCCCCCTCCGGGCCGTGACGCGGTCCCCTTGGCCACCTCCCAAGGCTGGGAGCCCACGGCGAGCTGCAGCGCTCTAAGGGAGCCGCTGGGGGTCACCAGGTCCATTCCTTGCACTTTCCTCGGTGCCTCCAAGTAGGTAGGGGCGGACAGCAGGAGGTAGCGAAGGGGATGAGGATGCAGCAAGGAGCACAGGCGGCTCCCGGGAGCGGCTGCGGGGTAGGCCCCGAACACCGGCGGCCGGGCTGGAGACCTGAGCAGCAGGCTCGCATAGGGGCCGTGCAGGGCGGCTGGCCCTGCGGGCAGGGGGAAGGGGTGGTGCAGGTGGGCTCCTGCGGGCGGGTGGTGGCGCTTGAAGCGCTTCCTGCGCCGAAGGAAGCTGCCGTTATCGAACATGTCCTGGGAGGCGGGGTCCAGGCTCCAGTAGTTGCCCTTGCCCGGGTGACCAGGCTCTCGGGGGATCTTGACGAAGCAGTCGTTGAGCGAGAGGTTGTGTCGGATGCTGTTCTGCCAGGCCGGGAACTTGCGGCGGTAGTAGGGGAAGCGGCTGCTGATGAAGGCGCAGATGCCGCTGAGCGTGAGGCGCTTGTGCGGGCTCTGCAGGATGGCCATGGTGATGAGTGCGATGTAGGAGTAGGGGGGCTTCGCGGGCTGCGGGGCATCCCCAGAGGTCCCCGCAGATCCAGTGGAGGCCGTGAACTTGGTACCAAGCTCGGGGGAGTCGCTCCGGCAGCCTCTGCTCTCCGCGCGCTCCCGGGACAGCGCTCCCGCACCACGCCGCGCCCCCTGCGGCTCTGGCTGGTGCAGCTGCTCCAGGGACTGCGGGCTCCCCTCATCCTCCACTTCATCCTCTTCTTCCTCGTCGTCTTCATCTTCCTCCTCTCCCAGGATATTGATCTCACCATCTTCCCCTTCGGTGCCCGGGAGGCTGCATGGCGGTGAGGAGCGAAGGCGCTCGATTATCGGCAAGTTCATGGAGGAAAAGGTCCCGCAGCCGCAGGGGAGTGGCGGCCGCTCACCTGTCCTGCACTGGGCTGGGCTGGATGCCAGGGTTAGGGTGTTCCGAGAAGTGGAATGTTCCAGGTGACTCCTTTAGATGTTCTTTACTTCTGGTTTCTCCTCCTTTACAACACCCAAGTCCAGCATAGGCGCACTTTGCCTTTTATTAAAGCTTCTTCGAGTCCCTGTGTGGATTCCTGCGCCCCTTTTTATACCATTCTTGCCCTACCTCAGAGCGCTCCCACTTCCTCGCCACGCAGTTCTATGCTGAGGGTCCTCTGCACAATAGCCGACCTGGGAAGAGCCCACAGCCTCCTCCTCCTCCTTACACCTACCCGCCACCAAGGAAGATGCTCCACTCCTTAGGTTGGTCAGCCAGTCACGCCCAGAGTTGTAAAGGCTTTGTTAATGCACTTTTAAAACTGCTCAAATAAAAAGGAGGTCGGAAAATATCACACCCACCAATCTACGACCACCTCGATAATCAGGCCTCTCTCCTGGAGGAGAGGGGGCACTGAAATGTCTACAGTGTTTCAAAGAATGTGTAAAGTAAAATTATGTTTTCACGTTTCATACATTTGGTTTGTCACCCAGTTTCATTGGTGGATTCTGTCCTTATTCAGAATGATGAACTGAACTATTATAAATATTTTAACTATATCCCCAAACTCAGGGGGGTGTGAAGGGCTGCTTCGTTGTGTCTTCTGCTCCCCACCCTATCTTCCCCAAATGTTCTCCCGACTAAAGTTTTCAGAAAAGGCCGAAATGTCCTGGCATTAAACTGTGGAAGTTCAGGGTGGAGGGAAAGCAGGAGGGCTAGAAAGGAGTCCCCTTCCGTAGCGATTCTCCAGCTTCTTTGAACATTTAGCCACCGTATGAAATGCATTTTACAAAACAGTCGTGCATATACAGACTTGTATAACCAAAATGGGTTTCATAAAGCAGTGTACTTACGCTAGAGTGATCAATGGTATTTTTTTTTAATGGCCACAGCCAACTAAATTGATTTTGCCACATACTAACCAGTAAACACCTAGTTTGAAACATCCTGTTTTAACAAAGTGGCCCACCTCAAGGGATGCATCCAGGATGTGAGAGGCTCCTCTCTCCCTCTACCCCATTTCTTCTTTCAAAAACCCCAAAATTCCCATTAAACATTTTTATCATAATAATAAATAGCACAACTTAAGTGAGGCAAGGAGAGGCTGCAGCTTCAGTCACGGACTGGCCTTCATTGCTCACACGGGAGAGGGGTGACATGACAGAGAGCTCCTTTAACTCACTTGACATCTTTGGAGGTACAAGATTTTTAGGTGGTGACATTTAGTCCACTCAGAGAGTAAGGCAGTGGTCTGGTAGACTGTAACAATGTGTTATATAAATAGAGATCTTACAGTAAAATGATAAGCCATAGTATATACTATCTAAAGAATTTGAAGTGGCATCTAATAACAATGTAGCATAAAAGAATATTGTTATTAGGCCATTGGTTGTCACACAGTTAATCTTTCATTAATGTTTGTAAAATAATGACTTTTCAATCAGAAGTCAGAAGCCAGCTAAAAGGTCAAAATGATTTAAAAGTAGTTTAGTGCATTCAGGATAAAAAGTAGCTTAAGGTAGCTAGTGCCTTCATGATAAAGTTTTGAAAACAGCTTTTTCACTTGTGAGGTGTTTACCCTCTAATCAAAGGCTGCCCAGTTGTATATAGTTTGAAGGAAGACAAATAACAGGTTTTGAGCCTAATGGATTTGTTTAAATCCCAAATTCACCAATTACCACTTGTGTGATCTGAATTAAACTGGAGGGCAGAACAGGTGTTACTCTGCCATGCATTCCCAGGTGCCTCCCTCTCAACCCCTGCAGGCAAGGCACGGTTCTTGCATCAGCACAGACATCAGCATGATCTGGGGAAGGGAGTATCGTTTAGTCTTCCTAGAGTCAACTTCTACTGAGATTAGGGTTACTTAAAAATGAAAGGAGAAGAGGAAGAACAACACAATCAGGAAAAAAACCCCACACTGATGCGGGGCGGGGCAGCGGGGAGGTGGTAGGGGAATGTGTTAAAGGGCACACAGGAAACAACTGAAAAAGCTCCCAATGGCCAAAGCTGGGACAATTTGAGCAACAAAATAAGTCTATTGGATTATAACCCAAAGTATAAAATAGATACCCATGTGTCCACAGTGAAAAAAATGACTGAACCAATGGGGGTAGAGGCAAATCTCCCTTGCAGAAGAATTCCAAATAAATTAGGAAGATACCCAGCCCTTCAGGACTGCCGCCCCTGCTTTATTGTATGCGGCACACAGGGACTTCCTTCTGGGAAGTGCAGTGCAGGAAGGGGTGGAAAGAGTGCCTTAACTGTACAGTGGGCGAACGTAACAAACACGCTTCGGCCAGGTGATCAGGTGATGGATGTCAACAAAACAGGCATAAATCCTGTTGATTGTGTATCGCCTGGGTATGATGTGATGAAAATGGCACTCTGTGCTCTTCCTCCCTGGAACCCCAATCCAACCACAGGAACACACAAATTCTGAATGAGGAGCGTGCTATGTTCCTGACCAGTACTTCTCAAAACTATCAGTGTCACCAGAACAAGTCAAGTCTAAGAAACTGTCACAGCCAAGAAGAGTCTAAGAAGACACGACTATTAAATGTAACATGGAAGCCTGGGTAGGATCCTGGAAAAGAAAAAGAACACGGGGTTAAAGGTAAGGATATCTGAATATCAAACTGTGGATTTCAGTTGATAATACTGTACCGATACTGGGTCACTAACGTGATGAATGCACTACACTGTTGTAAGATGTTAACTGTGTGTGTGTGTGTGTGTGTGTGTGTGTGTTGGGGGAGATAGAGGGAACCTCTCTTTTACTGCCTGCTCACTTTTTCTGTAAATCTAAAATTCTTATGAAAAATACAATCTATTAATTCAAAAAATTAAACATGGAAAAAATGGACATAATAGCCAAAAAGTAAAAAATGTCCATCAACTGGACACTTACCAATTAAAAGGAACAAAGTGCTGATACAAGCTACATGATGGTTCAAGAAAACGTTATAATAAATGAAAAGGGTCCAAAACAGGATCAAAGAGACTAGACAGTTGCTCTCATAACAGCAGGGGACAGTGGGGGATAACGGCTAACGGATACAGGGTTTCTTTTAGGAGCAAGGTATATTAACTACAGTGTATGAGTTATATCCAAATAAAGTTGTTACACAAAATATTTCAATATAAGAACAAATAGCTGTATCAACGAAAACCAAATTGAATGCCTTGGAAAGACTCCATTATAGCATGTCACTCTAAAAAAAGCTACTCTGGCTGGTGTGGCTCAGAGGACTGAGTGCCTGCCTGCAAACCAAAGGGTCTCTGGTTTGATTCCCAATCAGGCCACATGCTTGAGTTTTGGGCAAGGTCCCCAGTAGGGGGCAGGCAAGAGGCAACCACACACTGATATTTCTCTCCCTCTTTCTTCCTTTCTTTCCCTCTGTCCAAAATAAATAAATAAAATCTTTTTTTTTAATTTAAAAAATAAAAATAAATAAAAAAGAAACTCTTACTGTCTGGTCCCATCAATTCTTTAGTGTTGCCTTAAGAATCAAAAGTTTTACATTGTTTACTGCCACATTTAACATGGCGCCAACTGCATAATGGGCACTCAGTAATTAATACTTGATTACTTCTTTTCTAATGCTCACAAAACACGATCCTTGTTTGAAAAAGAAACCATTCTAAACTAATCTACAGGAAGGGTGATGATGTCTGATTTCTCTCCATTTTACTCTGAAAATTAAAGGTGATTTGGTCATCAACAGTTAAAAGGTAAAGTTGATTCCAACAGTAATACTAACTGTGAGAAAAAACTATAGCGTATCTTTCTCATCCAAGTATTTCAAGCTGCTAGGCAGTCAAAGGCAAAATTCATTTCTTTCAACACTACTTCCACAATGTAAGGCTTTTCTAGAACAATCTAAAACACAGTTTTCCCACCTACTCTAGTAGTCCAAATTATTCAATTTATAGCAAGGAACCAAGTCCATAAATGTTTAAATAAAAGCCTGTTAGGTTCATTTTGTTGATAATTCCCTTCAAACTTCAGGACTGAGGAATTTTAGACCTTTTCAATCACCTGGCCTTCCTCCATACCCCATACTGACCCTTCCTACAGCTACCTTAAACTCAGTACCAATGTTCTTGCCTCTTTCACTAAAGCTGTGGAAAGCCTAGGAAAGAACCATGTTTTAAGAAGGCGTGTAAAAGCTTTAATTTTTTTTAAAGTCAGGTCTTGCTGGAAAAGGGGAATTCACTTTTACTGAGTTTCTGTATCCAGGGTGCCTTAAATCCCTAGAACAATCCAGAGATCTGCATTGTTATTTCTCTTTTATGAATGAGGCAGAGGCTCAAAGATTTGTAATTTACCCCATACCACTCACTTAGTAGGCTATAGTTTTGGATCAACTATGCCTAAACCTTGATCATCATCATCAATACTCTGCAAATCTTCTATAGGAAGGAGAATAATGGCCTACATTATTTATTTTAGTTAGCAATTTGTATTACAAAAATAAAATTATATCTTGAGGATAACTATGGCAAGTTCCAAAGTTCTCTGAAGGTGCTGATTATACCATGGCTCTAATCATTGAAAAATACTTCATTTTGGGGAAAATAAAAATGAAGAACAGGAAAATACATCTTTAAAAGAATATATAAACAACATCAACATACAGAATAAAACTTATATTAAAAGTGGTATGTCATTCCATGCAGGTTGACAGAAGTTAAATTGTATTTATTAGCTAGTTTGGGAAAAATAGGTACTTTCATATCCCACTGTAAAGATGTACAGACATTTGGAAGAGCAACTAACCAGTACCTATTAAAAAATTTAAGTGTGCATACCCTGGAAGCTTGTGGTTCCACCATCACATCTCTAGGCTGGCAAAAAATATTCTCATGTAAGAACAAAGATGCACTGCAGTTCATGGCAGCACTGTGTGTGATTTCAAAAACAGAAACCTAGTTCATCTGCTACATCGACCACGGCCACATCACTTCACTTCCCAGGGCTTTCCGAATCCTCCAAACGTGTCTCTCTACCCTATAAAGAGCACCCAGTCGGGCCCCAGCTCACAACCCCAATGCCACCTCAGACCCTGGCTTTCTTTCCTTTCAGCACTCTTGCCTTCTTCCCCATCTTCCCACGTGCTATGCTCCTTCCCATCGCAAGGGCTTCTGCAAACCTTCTCCCTTAGTTTGCACGAAGAACTCCTTTTAATTCTAGTCTCAATTTAAAAGCCACCCTCCTTTGACAGCCTTTCCATGACCACTCAATCTAAAGTCAAACTTTGTTTTTATCCACCATTTTAGGCTACCTCCTGTCTTCTGTGTCCCTCCACGAGAACGTATGCAGCAATGCGCAAACCTGGCCTTTATTCGCCAGGAGCAGTTTCAGCCCTAGCACTAAATACCTGGGCAAAGTGGAAGTTCTCAGTAAACACTTTTTAAAATGAATGTATTCTAGGCTAATACTATGAGTAACTATGCAGCAGTTAAAGAATAAGACATATTTATATACACTGTCATGGAAAACTCTAAGACTAATTGTTGAGTTTTAAAAAAAGCAAACTGCATTACCATATAAGTTTTATTTAAAATATTTCATATTACAAAAATAAAACCTATCCTTGAGTATATTTTATGGCAAATCTGTAAGTTCCCTGAAGAAGTAGCTTAAAGCTTTAATCAATGGAGAATAATTCGCTTTGGGAAACAACATAAACCATCATGTGTGTGAGTGAAGAGACATCTGAAAGAACAGACGTTATGCTGACAACACTGCTTACCCCTAAGAAGTGACAGTGATGAAGGAGAAAGGTCAGGAGAGACCGACTTCATCTGTGGTGTCTGGATTCTTACAACACAAATGAATTCATGCAATACATATGTAATGAAAAATATTTACAGATTAACACATTTTAAAGGAAAAAAACATTTATGAGTTTTATAAATACAGATTTTTAAAAGTATAGATTAAAATTACTTCAAGTATTTCTCCCACAACAGAACAATGATAAGCCCTTTCTGGTCTAGAAGATATGAATCCATATGAATTATTTGTCAAAGAACATTATGAAGTATTATTATGACTACATAAATTATAGAATGGATTTAAACTGTTAGGAAGAAGACACATTTACCTAGCCTCTGCTGTGTTTCAGGAGCTGAGCTAGGGGCATTATAAACCTATTTAATCCTCACAAGAACCTTAAGTGATTGGTATTATCACTGTCCCCTTTATAAACAAGGAAACTAATCTCAGAGAAAAATACTTTGTTCAAGATTACACAGCCAAGAAGTAGCTGAGCTGGAATTAAAGCCCAGGTCTGACTCAATATAGAAATCTCATCAAGTAACTTTCTATTGCACAATATGCTGCCACAAAATATGGGTATTTTTTCTACCACTCATTAAATAATGGATTTAGGAGACGAATGCATATAGAGAAGTTATATATAATAGATACAGAATGCAGGGGAAGGGGCATAGATAATTTAATCAGTCAACATGCCTCCAAACACAATGGAGCCATTTGAGATACATAAATGTAATTCTTTATTTAAAATTCTAAAAAAAAATCGAAATGCCATTTTGATAGTTTTCTCTATTTAACAACTATTAGTTTGGGAAAGGTCTTCTCTAAATTCCATCTAATGCTATTATCCTACAATCTGAGTATTGTTAATGCTGACCTGCTCTTAGAGGAATAGGCGAAAAGTAAAGATTGTTAAATTATCAAATTATCTGAAGTCATATCTGAAGGTTTGTACCTCATCACTTTTTAGTGTATGCTAAAAATTTGAAAAGTTAAAAAAAAAACAAAATGAATTTAATACCAGTAGTAAAATCTACTTAAAATTAAATGTTCTACAATTAGAATCTTCTAAATAAATTTCAAAGTGAATGGCTGAAGTTTCATTGACTGTCAGTAAAGCTTAGAATTGACTAAAAATAAAAAATAGTTCCAATTAGTTTATTTGATTCAGATTTCTTCCACCTATGAGTGTCTAGCCAGAACAAACCTTTTATTTCATTTAATAAAAATGGTGATATTATTTGCTTTCAAAATGTTTTTGTTAATAAAATTATATCTATGCAAGAAGCTGAAGTTCTAAAGGAAAATGACAATGCTGAATAAGTTTTACCATCATTATTTTAAAAATAGTAACTTCCATGGATGAGAAGCTCAGCATATGTAAACTTGAAAGACAAATCTGAAAGACATTTTTGTGAAATGTCTATTAAAAACAGGATATTATATTTTATTATATAAATAGCAAATATTTTACAGTACTGATTTACTATATCTTATATATTATATAAAATATAATTTTAACATACATTGGAATTCACAGCAGAATTAATGTAAAGAACAGATGCTTGAAATACACCCAGGAGGAAACGTAGTTCTAATATCATCATCTGATCCTTTTGACAAGAAATGCTTCCAATATTATGGACAAACTTGATCTTCTTTAAAGTATGTTGTTCTCTGCTTTTCTGTCTCTGTCACAGTAGCTATAAATAGTTGCTTAAGGATATCCTTATCCAAATTTCTGCCTGCAGAGAACAAAACATGGTGTGACTGTACCACATTTATTAAAATGACACAGTTAACCTATCAAATCCAGATCATTAAATTCTTGATGATCTTTAGAAGTGAAAAACAATAGTAATTGAGTGATTCCTTCCTTAGCTTTCTAGTTAAATCCCTCAGAAGCCAACTGACATTTGGACTAATCACTATGATAAAGTTGTTGGAAGATTAAAAGGCCTAGCTAGTTCTTATGAATATTATCATGTGATTAAGACAAATACATTAACCACATGTTTATTTACTTGTAGGTGTACAAAAAGGCTTCTGATTGGTTGATACTACTTAAGCAGCACATTATATTCCTTTCAAATATACAGAATCCAACAGAAGTAAGGCCTGCTTGAGTGTGGTTGGTAGGGTAATAACATGGATGTAATAATTTATAGTTTTAATTTGAACACTTCACCTAAAATGTCACATGGTGTGCTTGAGTGTAATATTATGTTACAGAATTACATGTTTATGATTCTATAATAAAAGATTTTGTAATTAAAAACAGGCATTATTTGTGCCAGACCCTGTGTTTTCCTGTTTTGCTTTAGAAATTCAACAGTTTGTAACTTACCGATAAGAACCAATCGATTTGTTCTCTCAGCGTCATCTTTCCAGCTCACTGGGGTCTCCTCCACATCGTACAGCTCATAGACGCCTTGGACAATCATCTGCTGTGGTTTGTCTTTGATCGACACCAGCCCCTGCTCAGAGGACAAGGATCAGTCAGCCTTAATTTGAATTGGAAAGCAGAAAGCAATCATTTAATATTAATGGATTAATTTTTCCTATTCCTTTTCAAAATACAAACTCATGAAAAGATACTGTTAAAATTACTTATTTCCTGCCCTGGCTGGTGTAGCTCATTTAGTAGAGGAGCCTCTTCCCGTAACTGAAAGGTCGTCAGCTCACTTTCCACACACATAGGTTTCAAGTTGGATCCCTGGTCTGGGCACATACAGTCCCTGGTCCAGGCATACATGGGAGGCAACCAATCAATGCTTATCTCTTGCACCAATGTTTCCTTCTCCCCCTTCCTCTCTCTTTAAGAGCAATGAAAAAAAAATTCCTTCAGTGAGGATTTAAACAATTTTTCTTAAGTTACTTATTTTTAGTTACTCGTGCATTAAGTTTCTTAAAGCCTCCAATTATTAAAGTTTCTGTACATATTAATTTTTAATGTATTTTATTGACTATGCTACTACGGTTGTCCCAATTTTTCCCTTGCCCCTCTCTGCCCAGTACCACCAATCCCTCCAGCAATGCCCCCTCAGTTCATGTCCAGAAGTCATGCATAAGTTCTTTGGCTTCTCCATTCCCTATACTGTTCTTAACATTCCAGTCTATTTTGTACCTAACAATTTGTACTTCTTAATCTCGGCACCTTTTCCTCCGTTATCCCCAAACCCCTTCCCAACTGATAGCCCTCCAAATGATCTTCATGTCTATGATTCTGTTCCTGTTCTGCCTGTTTGCTTAGTTTGTGTTTTAGATTCAGTTGTTGACAGTTGTGCATTTGTTGCCATTTTAATGTTCAGTTTTGGTCTTTTTCTTATATAGTTCCTTTAACGATTCATATAATAATGGCTTAGTGATGATGAACTCCTTTAGTTTTATGTTGTCTGGGAAGCACTTTATCTGCCCTTCAATTCTAAATGCTAACTTTGCTGGATAGAGTAATCTAGGTTATAGGTCCTTGCTTTTCATCACTTTGAATACTTCTTGCCAGTCCCTTCTAGCCTGAGAAGTATCTTTTGAGAAATCAACTTTTTTAAAAAAAGATTTTATTTATTGTCAGAGAGAGAAGGGAGAAAGGAAGGGAAAGAAACATCAATGTGTGAGAGAAACATCAACTGCGTTGCCTCTTGTTTCCCCCCAAATGGAGACCCAGGCTACAACCCAGGCATGTTCCTGGAGACCCAGGCTACAACCCAGGCATGACAGGGAATCAAATCTGCGAGCTTTTGGTTCACAAGCCAGTGTTCAATCCAGAGCCACATCTGCCAAGGCAGCTGACAGTCTTATGGAAACTCCTGTGTAGATTAACGCTGCTTCTCTCTTGCTTTTAAGATTCTCTCTTTATCTTTAACCTTTGGCATTTTAATTATGATGTGTCTTGATGTGGTCCTCTTTGGGTCCAATTTGTTTGGGACTCTCTGTGCTTCCTGGACTTGTATGTCTATTTCCTTCACCAAATTAGGGAACTTTTCTTTCATTATTTTTACAAATGAGTATTCAATTTCTTGTTCTTCCTTGTCTCCTTTGGGTACCCCTATGATTTGGATGTTGGTATGTTTAGAGATGTCCCAGAGGCTCCTTATTCTATCCTCATTTTCTTTAATTCTCTTTTCTTCTCGCTGTTCTGACTGAATGCTCTTTTCTTCCTTATGTTCCAAATTGTTGATTTGATTCTCAGCTTCATCCCCTCCTCTCTTGGTTCCCTTTAGATTTTTATTTCTTTATTTAGTAATGCAACCTTAGTTTCTGCCTGAGTCTTTTTTATGTTGTTGCAGTACCCAATGATTTCTTTGAGCATCCTGATAACCAATGTTTTGAACCCTGCATCTGATAGGTTGCTTATCTCCATTTCATTTAGTTCTTTTTCTGAAGTTTTGTGCTGTTTTTTCATATGGGCCATATTTCCTTGCCTCCTCAATTTAGTGGCATCCCTGTGTTTGTTCCTGTGTATTAGGTAGAGGTGGTTTGACTCCCTGTCTTAGCAGTGTGGCCTATTGTAAAAAAAGTCACCTGTAAATTGTGTGAGCCTTAGGTAATTGCCAGGGTGGGGCAACCTATTTCACTGCTTTGTGGCTCTGGGCGCAGAAGGGCTCAGAGAAGGAACAATGCCGCTGCCTGGCCTCTGGATATTGCCTGGGAGGAATCTGTCTCCTGGCACTTGCCCTGTTGCCAGTCACTTCACTTTCTCCCCTTCTCCCCGTATACCACTTGTGCCCTTCCAGCTGTTGCCCTGGTGCTGAATCCAAGAGCAGGGTGGGTCTGTGTGAATCCTAAGTCCACCTGGGCCCTTTATGAGGTGTCTCTTGAGAATCCTGCAAGGGTTTCTTCTGCCAACCCAACCCTCACTGGTTTTTGCAGCCAGAAATTATGGAGACTTATCTTCCTAGTTCTGGAAGCCTGGGCTGGGTAGTCTGGTCCGGGGCTGGGATTGCTCACTCCCAAGGTATCCCTTCCGATTTTTATCCACCACATGTGAATGTGGGACTGTTCATTCCACTGCCTCTGTGCCCCTCCTACCCATCTGGATGAATGTGGGTTCTTTAAATCCTTGGCTGTTGGGCTTCCACAGGGCTCGATTTTCTGATGAATCTGGGTGATAGCTGTTTTGTAGTCTAGTTGTAATTTTTGCTACAGTTATGTGCAGAGGTGAAGTATGTTTACCTACATCTTCTTAACTGGAAATCCCATTGATATTTTTCTAACAACAAAATTCATGTATGTACTAGGATGTTCTTTCAGTGTTAGCACAACAAAAAATCAAATAGCAAAATGATAAAATATATCAGATTCTACTGATTATTCTACTTTTAAAATTTTTATACTTGTTTCAGTTTTTGTGGGAAAATCTGAGAAATTAAAAGATTCTGTTGACAAATAATTTGTTTTTGTATGGGTTGCAACAAATGGAGTAGATAACTATTACATTTATCTAAATAAAGTTCATTTTATATTTATCTGCAGAAAGGAAGAACAAATTATTTAACAAACTGGCTCCTATGGATATAAAATCATTTCTCTGAAATATTTGTTGTGCATATTTGTATAAAATCAACATATATTGACAGAAAAAGACAAATCACTGATAGTCATTCCCACCACACAATTTTTGTGTATTTTTGGTATATTTATGCATTTTGTGTTTTATGTTCTTCCAGTTTTTCTTTGCCTGTGCCCAGCTGCTTTCTGGTTCTTTCCCCTGTTTTTACCCATTTTTATTGAGATATAATTGACATATGACATTGTGTTAATTTAAGGTGTATAACATATGATTTCATTGTCTTTTGCTTTTTGAATTTGAATATGTAATAATAAACACCTCAGAATTACCTAAGCATCAATTTTGTATCAAGGGTTTGCAACCTTAGCTGTTACTAGAGTTAACATGTTCAACATGCTGATTACATTGGACCACTACTTGTAACAGGAGTGAGAAGGAAGTCTATGAAGATAAAGATTGTGTTGGTGCAGGTCTCCCAGTGTTGTGTTGAGAGGAAGGCCAAAGGAGGAACCAAAGAGGACAACTGCATAAAAATAGGCATATGTGTAAGGACAAACTCCAAACTGGGATAGTGCAGAATGAGCCACCAAACTCTTTATAGAGGTCTTGGTGGCAGCATTAGCATATTGCCACAATGGCTGCTTTTCTAGGTACCACCCCAATGCAGTAGTAGAAGACAAAAGCAGTTACAGAATGAAATATTATCTTCCAGCTAGGATCATGGAAGGTAGATGGTGCTACAATCATAAAGCAGCAGCAGAGTTGGGTGGGAAGGATATGGGATTCTCCTGTCTTGCTCTACAGCAGCAAACTCAGGTAGGGCTGGCACAAGGAGTAAAGAAATCTCAACCTAAAAAGTTTCTCCACAGTCTAACCTTTGTTGTTCAGGTGATCTCAGCAAGTCATTCCCTAACCAGAGAATCTAGTTGCTAACAGTAATAATAATAAACAATAATTAAAAGTTTACACACTTCTGGAAACACAAGAAAAGACACTCAAGTAACAGCTGATGGATTACGTACACAACCTAGAACCATTGCCCTATGTAAAAAACACCTTTCGTGCCCTGCCCAGGTGGCTCAGTTGGTTAGAGCATCATCCCACACATGGGAAGGTGGCAGATTTGATTCCCAGTCAGGGCACATACCTAGGCTGTAGGTTCAATCCCTGGTCAGGGAGCATACGAAAGGCAACCAGTCAATGCTTCCCTCTCACATCAGTGTTCCTCTTTCTCTCCCTTCCTCTCTAAAATCATAACTCAGATGAGGGTTTTAAAAAAACAAACAAACCACCTTTTGTGGCAATAAACACCCTAATGTCAAGTGTTCTTCTAGTCTTTTATAGTACAGCTTATAGTATGACAAATGTTTAGTGTCTACTAGAAGCATCAAACAGAAGTTCAGCTGCAGCAAGATTTCTATTATTATTTTTCTGTTAATAAAGCTTTATTGGAAAAAATAAACACAGGAAAGTGTTCAGTTTTCTCTAACTGACTAAGCTGAGTGCCAAAGTGAGGAGAGTTTCAACAGGTCAAGCTCATGAGCCAGATAACTCTCAGAATTCCTGAGAGTAGAGAGCACAGGCTAACATTTCAAAATGCATGAGCTGTTTTAGCTGCAACACTAAATGAAGCTGTGCAAATAAATCATGCTTTAAGCAGTGATTTCCAAGACTTCTTTTCAGCAGTGGAAATAAAGAAAAGTGAAAATAGATAAACATTATTTGTACTAAAATCAGTGCTTCTGTATGATTTTTTAAAATCCAATATGATTTTATATAATAGCCAAGAAAGGGACTCTGTCCAAAAATATAAGCCTGTAAACTGTATACTGCACCTTTAGTCGTATGACCTCCATGCAGTCACCATCCTTGTTCCTCACATCCTTTTCCCACAGAAGATTCTGTATCAAGTGACATAGGTGAGTAAGACCAACCACTGCTAATAGCAACAACTACATAACAACACAGTTGATAAATCATTAATCAGCTAACAACTGCATTCACCTGAATAAATACATTTAGATTTTCTTCCTTTGCATTTCCTGGTACTTCAAATGTGACTGTAATAATACTCTGTAAATCAAGACAGAATCAACAATGAGTTTTTATAGTAAAAAATGAATTTTTTTAAAAAATGACAAGTTTTAAGGTAAAATGTAAGGAATGCATTCATAGAAATGTATGTGGCCTAACAATACCTATTATGTATAACTTTTTGACTATTACTTGCTGATTTTCAGTATTGGCAACTCCATTTCCTATGCTGTGAAGTTGATCAGTGGTTTAACATTTACACAGAGAAATGTCACAAAGGGAACTCATTATTTAATTCATTTTCTCCAGGATTCTCAGTGCTAAGAGAGAAGGTAATATTAATACACACATAGAGTTTATCAACTATAAGTACTGAGACAGGTACCCTTGCCTGGGTCACTTCATTTATCTTTCATTCATTTGTGACAACTATCCTCTGAAATTAAGAGAATTATTTCCATTTTATAAATTGGGGGAAATGAGGCCCAAACGAAAAACAAATAAACTACCCAGAGCCAGGAATAGACCTCAAAAGCAAAAAAATTAATTCTTTTCCTTGGGAAAATAAATATAAAGGAAAGGTCTGGGTTATCTCTAGCCAAACATGTGCCAAGGGGAGAAGAACACCTAGAGATGAGAATATTATGTCACCTTTGGTTTTAGAAGATGACATCATCATTTATAGCATGTTAACTTTCAGATTTACTTTTCCTCTTGACCTTGATAAATCTCTGTCTACTTAAGGAACCAGAAGCTTATGATTTCCTATAGCTAGTCACATAATTAAAATCAAAATGTCCAATTTCTACCATAACCCAAAATTTCAAACTTTATGATGAAAATCCAAGGCTAAAAACATAACCTGATAAAAGCACAAACCTCATCATAGATAATGAGAATAAAATGTTCAAGCCAACCTTTAAAACAGGCAGAAAAAAAAATTCTAAGGCACGGCTTTCCATCATTTCCTAGAACTGCATATCTACTCACCAGCAGAACATCATACAGGCTTATGCTATAAAATATGAAAAGATTAGAATTGCTTTCTATGCAAACATACTGAGTTGGCCAAAAAGTTCATTTGTTTTTTTTTCAGATGATGGTTCTAGTAGTGCTTAGTTGTCTTTAACTTCATTTGAAACAATTTTGTTAGATTGTATTGTGACAGCTGTCATACCAGTGTGCTTTTTTAAAAAGCCAATCAAAATTGGTAAATTTTTGTGCAGCCATTTTATTATTGAAGATGGAAGAAGATACACAACATTTTTGGAGTATTATGCTTTATTATTTGAAGAAAGGTAAAAACACAACTGAAGCCCAAAAAAAGATTTGTGCAGTGTATAGAGAAGGTGCTGTGACTGACTGAACATGTCAAAAGTGGTTTGTGAAGTTTCTTGGTACTGTTGACATTTTGACCAAATAATTCTTCACTGTGGGGCTGTCTTATGCATTGGAAGATATTTAGCAGCACCCCTAGCTTCTACCCGCTAGAAGCCAATAGTGGGAGAGCGCCAAAATATTCAAAATATCCAAATCAATAAAGTTATTGGTGAAAATGAAAAATGTGTCTTTTATTTTATGGAAAAAACTAAACGTGCGTTTGGCCAACCCAACAGTTAGAAAATAGCTAAAAGTAAATAAATATTATAGACCAACATAAACAGAAAATACATTGGCATTTAGTCTACACTGTTGCTACTAATAGGAAAAGCAGAAGGCACTTTGTTGTTCAGATATGGGAACTGAAAGCCAACTAAAATTGGACTTTAAAATATCATATTTCTAAAAGTATTTATTTTGTTGCAATAGCTAAGGGGTAGAAACAATGTAAAATTAATGGATAAATGAAAATACACAATAATGCAGTATAAAATGTGGAATAACAGAATTTTATAACAGAGTAATAGAATTACTCATCCTTTAAAAGAAAAGAAATTCTGACACATGCTACAATGTGGGTGAATCTTAAAGACATTATGCTAAGTGAAATAAGCCAGTCACAGAAGGACAAATACCACATGATTCCACTTATATAAGGTATCTACATAGTCAAACTTATAGCAGCAGGAAGTAGACTGGTGGTTGCCAGGGGCTGGGGTACGGGAAATGGAGAGTTGCTATTCAGTGAGTTCAGAGTTTCAGTTATGCAAGATGAAAACATTCCAGAGCTCTGCCGTACAACAACATGCATGTAGTTAACCATACTGCACTATACACTTTGGATACTTATACCAAACCTTTCCTTCATCAGTTTAATATTGTTAAAAATAGACTATATATAGAACCCCACTCTGCTTTTAAGCAGGGATTCCCTTCAGAAGAACTGATCAAATATGTTGAGTGACCTGGAGAACGGAGAAGTTAGAAAGCATAATTTTCTAAACTAATAGGGTCTGGCACAAATAACGCTCGTCTTCCCCCTTTTATTACATAACATCTTTGCCCTTGCTGGTGTGGCTCAGTGCATTGAGTGCCAGCCTGCTAACCAAAGGGTTACTGGTTTAATTCCCCAGTCAGGGCAAGTGCCTGGGTTGTGGGCCAGTTCCCCATTAGGGGGCGTGTGAGAAGCAACCACACATTGAATTTTCTCTCCCTTTCTTTCTTCCTCCCTTACCCTTTCTCTAAAAATAAATAAATAAAATCTTTTTAAAAAGCTTGTATTACAAAATCATAAGCATATAATTTTCTAACACAACGATATCACATGCAAGCACCATATGACATTTTAGGTGAAATGTTCAAATTGTTGTCCATCTCCTGCAAGACATTCACGTACTCTACCAACCACACTCAATGGTGTTACTTCTTCCGGACCCTGTATTCTAAGCAATTTCAGTTTAATTAAGTTCCTGTAATGCTTTAAGATGTGAGATTAGATGACCTCAAAAACATTTAAGTCTGAAAATTATCAACACAGTTCAAAAAATACATTTTTAGGAAGAGTTCTAATATAATAGTCATAAACAGAACCAATTTAGTTAGAAATATTTAAAAATATTTTTAAGATTTTTTTTACCTGATCAAGATGAGGGTGTATTGTTGGCAAATGTTGAAGTTTTTCCTGCAAACTAAAACAACTCATTATAAATTCAGAGATCAATACATTTTTTATTTAATCTTATACATTTCTTAGAGATACAAAGCTACACAAGGAAGAGAAAATCCAGCGTTGAATCTATTACATGTTGCTCACATATTCTAATAGAGAAAATCTGGCAGACTGTTTTAAAACTTAAAAATGTACACACGTCCCCATACATAAATACAATGTAAAGAAAAACTAATCTTTAGCAACACTATTTTGTGTGGGTAAATATGTCAGTAGATTTCTTTTTAATTCCAACTGATCTAATACAGGCCCAGAAAAGTGCAAATAAGCATTTTTACTATTGCTCAAAATTTCACCAACTCTCCCCATGCTTTCTAATATGAAAATGCTGGTACCTAAAGAAAGTTAGAAGAATACAATTTCCTTTATAAACGTTTTCCCTTGAACATGACTACTTAGTAAAAAAATAAACAGTATCCATAAATGTAAGTCTTCTATATACTCAGTTACTGGTAAAAACAAAAAGTCAGAATCTTAAAAACGCATTGTTCTGAGAGAAAAAGAGGGAGAAGATCAATATGGCATAACAGATTATAACCATAACAAATGTAGCAAACATTTAGACACTGATGGGGATAGGACTGGGAAGAGGGAAGGACTTAAAGCCTTGCAGATGTGTTGCCCTGAAGAACAGTGAGGGGTAAATTAGTAACAGCAAGTTTAGGAAAAAGAAAAGGCTTATAGGGACTATTGGAGTAAGTCCCTAGGAGGGGAGGGGCTCTTAGTAGGGAAAGTGTCAGATTAGATATCCCCAGCTGGTTGCTCAGGAATGGAGTCTCCGTGTAATAACTGAACACAATGAAAAGTTATGCAAAAGCTCACAGCAGGGGCATCCCATTAAACAGCTACTTCTTTAAGTGTCACTAATGCATTATAACTGTTCTTAAGCAAGTCACATGCTCTTTCCCTACATTCAATATTTAATGTTGTTGGACAATGACTGCCTGACACTTCCACAGGGCAGGAGGAAAACGTTTTCTTCTGCCCCCTTCAGGTCCCTGGCTGGGTCTGAAAATTAGACTGATAAAGACAGAGCAATAGGAGGAAAGCATACAATTGCTGAAGTTTTCCAGGACACAGCAGTCTTCATAAGGAAATGAAGACCCAAATAAATGCTTAAGGCATAGTGGTCTCGTGTTGGGCCTGGCGAAGAGTGCAAAGCCATGGAAAGACATGACAGGACAGAGTGTGAGCCAAGTGCAGTGAACTGGGAAAACTCGGTGGGTCTGCTCCTTTAGATTCCTCTGCGTGTCCGTTTGTCTTCAGACATAAGGATGCTCCTTTCCTCCGGGTGTAAGAAGGAGACTCTCACATGAGGGTTTTATTGACCCATCTACTTCAGAGGAAATGGAAGAAAACATTCATAAATCATATGTCTGATAAGGGGTTAATACCTGGAATATACAAAAATCTCCTATAACTCAGCCACAAAATCAAAATCAAATAACCTGATTTAAAAATGAGCAAAGTACTTAAATGGACATTTCTCCAAAGATGATATACAAATGGCCAATAAGCATATGAAAAGATTTCAACATCTCTAATCATTAGAGAAATGCAAATCAAAATCACAATGTGCAACCACCTCATACCCATGAGGACAGCTACTACCAAAAACAACAAAAAGTATTGGCCAAGATGTAGAAAAACTGAAACCCTTGTGAACTGCTGGTGGGAACGTAAAATGGTGCAGGTACTATGGAAAACAGCATGACGGTTCCTAAAAAACTTAAAAATAGAAATACCACAGGCTACAGCAATCTCACTTCTGGGTATATATCCAAAAGAATTGAAAGCAGAATCTTGAAGAGATATTAGCACACCTATGTTCATAACAACATTATACACCATAGGGGAATATTACTTAGCCTTTTAAAAGGAAGGAAAGAAATCCTGTCATATGCTAAAACATGGATGAACCTTGAGGACTTGGTGAAATAAGCCAGTCATGATAAGACAAATACTGTTTGATTCTACTGAGGAGTATCAAAGTAGACAGATTCACAGAAAAGAGCAAGAGAGTGATGGTTGCCAGGGGCAGGAGGGAGGGGAACATGGAGAGCTGTCATTTAATAGGTGCAGAGTTTTAGTTTTGCAAGGTAAAAAAGTTCTTTAGAAGATATGAATATACTTTACTGAACTGTACACTTAAAAATGGTTAAGATGACTTAAAAAAAGATACTGATATCCAAAAAAGAAATTTACATTCTTCTCTACCTTATCAAAAAGATTCTTTTTAGGAAAAGAGGCAGGAACTGATCCATTACTGAGGGTAAAGGAGGTACCTGTGGTAACACCCCAAGCTAAAACTTTCTATGTATTTCATGTATTTTGTCATAGAAAGTATTACATATATTTGGTGTAGAAATATTAACAATTACTCTCTAACGTTAACTGCCATTTACACTATGATTTCTATAGGAAAATGTACTGTGATCTCCAAACATCCAATTAACAAAACTGTCAAGAACATAATCATTAGGAACGGTCTTTTATGTCAAAGGAATTATGGGAAGCTTAAACCAGGCGTGCAACTCTGTAAATCACTCCTCTACCTCTTACAGCTTTGTAATAATAGGTACATTACAACAAAAATGACCAAAATACAGGAAACATACCTTATTCCAGAGAGACTGTCAAAGGCATGAAGATCTAACACGTTAGAGAGATCAACTCTAAAAAAAAAAAAAAAGCAAAGTAACAGTGTGAAATTCTATGAAATATAATCAAGAAAAAAAATCTCAAAGATTCTTTTGCCAAAAGTGTAGACATAAAGGTTTATCAGTGTATCACAGTATTTTTAGAAACATAAAAACAACAGGCAAGGAACAAAAAGTTTGTAAAAAATTATTTTGTGGATTTTATACACAAATTTCAAAATCTGGGTAAATGGTGTAAGATCAAGACTACTTGACTGTTGCTTCAATAAGGTATAATTTTTTAGTTTGTTGGGTGTTTTTACTTTTAATTGTCTTTTCAATTCTGAAAATTTATGAGCTTTGTTTTCTTTATTTATTGATTTTTTTAGAGAGAGAGGAAGGGGAAAAGAGAGAGAGAAGAGACATTAATTCGTTGCTCCACTTATCGATGCAGTCATTGGTTGATTCCTGTATGTGCCCTGACTGGGGATCAAACCCTCTCAACCTTAGTGTACTTGGACAACACTCTCACCAACTGAGCTACCCAGCTTGGGACTTTTGAGTTTTTCACATATATTTTTTATTACAAAAAGAAAAAAAAATCAGTTAACTGAAACTTTACAACGCAACGGTTTATTATTCAAAATATGAAATGAGAGTAGTGGAACAAATGGAAATAACATTATAACATAGGTGCACTACTTTTGGAATTTTCATATTTCTTTTACTCCACCTCCCTCCGTCCATGATATAACAGGTAACATTATAAGACTGTGAGGAGTCAAACAACCACTGTGTGTATTAGAAATATTCACTCTAGGACCCCATCTAGATACAAAGAATGTGATTTTATTTCATTTTCTTCAGAATGGTGTTGCATATAGACTAAAACTTTCTGGTTAGTGATCTATCTGAATAAACATTATTTCTGTTAGAATAATTTAGTAGTAAATAATTAAACTGTATTAGGAAAGCAAGAATTCAAATAAAAAATATTATATCAAAATTAGCATGAGATCTGATTTAAATACATATATTTATAAAAACTAGTGATTGAGTTCTAATTTTTACAAGCCTATAAAACAGTAAAGGACAGTGATTTTTCTACAATCAAAGCTACAATCAAAGAATGTTTAAAGACAACAACAGTATAATTCAATTTCAAAATTAGATTCCAGGAACTTCCCAAACATTTATTAAATTTTTCCACGAGGAAAACAAAACTTTGTCACATTCAAGATTTTTTAAAATGCATAAACATGTAAGCTAAATCAACTCCCTTAACTTAGGACTGACTGACCAGCTGTGTCTGCTTTGTTCATTCTCAACAGCCTGCCACAAATTCACACTTGGGCCCACACTCCACTCTTAGACTATGAATGCTTATCCTGGCACAAGGCAGACAGATTCCCAGCTTTTTAAAAGAAGAACACTTCAAAGTTCTATGTTAATAGACTGTAACAATATTTCAAATTCTGGACACTGTAGATGAGCAGAATTAGGAAAATGATCAAGAAGTAAATGCTCCATGAAGAAATCTTTGAATATCAATTTAAATGAGACCAAAGCCTTAACATTAAACATATCCCCCTTTTCACTATCACAACTGAGCAAATATTTATATTGATAGGTGATGAATGAAATTTTCCCCCAAGTTTGTTATCTTTATCTCAGGAAATAGCTTAAGGTTTAAGAAAGTTTACAGATGCCAACTGTGCCAATATCAAAATTCAGGCCAACTGTTTGAAAAACAAAAGTCAGTTTTGAAACACGAGCTTCTAAATAAACTAGTTTCGCTGTGACAGTGTCCTTGAAAATACATAGATTTAGAGATAATTCTGCTTTATCCCAGATTCCTTTGACATTTCCAGAACAGAGAGGACCAACAACAGATCTGTGCAAGTAGAGTTCTACAGAGAATAAAATATCAAAGCCTCTTACTGTATTCTCACCAGATTCTCAATGGAGAATAAAAGGAAAAATCCTAAGCTTCCAGATGAAAGTTACCATGGACTTTCTTCAAATCTGTTATCACCATGAAAAGGGAAAAAGGGCTGTGGACATGGACAACAGTGTGTTGGCTGCAGGGAGAAGTGGGGATAAGAGGGATAAATGGTAATGGAAAAAATACAATAAAAAAGTTTTAAAAACAGAACATGAATGAGCTATAAATACAAGGGTTTATTTTGGTACTCTCAATGCTGTTCCATAAATAGAAATTAAATAAATATGTATTTATGTTTTTGTCAATAAGCAAAATAAAAAACATCAGGCATTTTTCAAAACATTAATATAAAAAATAAGGAAAAACGAGGACTACGACCATTATGTAAAAACTAAATGAGAGAATAAGGCAAACGTAAAGAGGGAGATAAACACTTTCAAAGAACATCTATTCTTCTAACTTCTGGAACTGCCTATGCCAGGAGTGCCTAACCAATGAAGAGTTTTCAGTGTTCCCCATGTCTGAAGAGCACTTTAAGTAGACAGGAGAATGGCAAGGAAGAGGGCTCTGGCTGTCCAAGGTGGAGAGGGGAGTTCAGGGGCGACTCCAGGGATATTGCCTACAGTCACCTTTTCAAGTTCCAGGAGTCTCACGAACAGGGGCCACCAGCCAATTCCAGATCTATGAATTATCAATACTGTCCAACAGAGAAGTCCTAACACTAGACTTTAATTTTCAAATGTTCTCCCCAGTGGCACCTCAAATGACTACAAAACTGAACTAATCACCTTCACTAAACTCACTAACATCACCTTACCCCCAAAATTGCCCCCCCTTCTCTTATTTACTAACCTGGAAAAACTGCACCATATTTAATCCATTTCCCAAGAGTCATACTGCTTTTAAAATCCTCCCTTAATTCCCTGCTGCCTACAGGAGAAAATACAAACTATGTATCATGGCATTCAAGACCTTTTATGGTTATCACTTTGGTTATATCTTTTTCTCTCTGCAACATAATACCATAGGTTTTAGTCATTCTAATATATTCACAGGCCCCTGAAGTACAAAATATTCCTTTGGTCTAGAAAGCTATTACTATTCTTGTCCACCTGGAAAACTCCTGTTCATTCAACTCAGATCAGTGATCAAGACTCAGGTCAATGATTACCTTCTCAGTCAAAATTTTCTCATGCTTCATCAAGAATTGAGTAATTGTTCCCCTATCTTCTTTATCTTACAGGACCCTGTGCATTTAATACTTCTGCTATATAATAATACTTGATATATTGGTGTTTGCTTCTATCTCCTTCAAATGACTCCTCTCTTCCAAGGCAAAGTTTTTGCCTTATCCATTGCCTAAATCTTTAACATGCCATAAACTGTCTAGCAACTAATAGAATGCTCAATAAATAGTCTGTTGAACAGATTAAGTTATTATCAACAAAGTGGATTTTGGTTTTTCTCTGTTTAGTTCACTTACATCTCCAAGGCTTTTTAAAAGTGAAAAAAAAAAAAAGATAAGAATGATATTCCTAATCTCCCCCTTCTGCTTCTGCAGTCTATATGGTCCATTAGAACTTCCATTTTCCACAAAATCAACTTAAGTCTTACCAATAAAACAATGCTATACATCATTCTCATTCCTTAAATACTGTCAAGGTAAGCCTTTCTTATGTATGCTTGTAGCAGCTTTACTATTGTCAGTTCTCTTCATTGTCATCATTTGTCAATCACAAGATGCTTATGGGATGTTAAAAAAATACACACAGTAAAACTAAACTTCCATCACAGTGATTTCAACTAGTTTGTTAAAAACCAAATCCCTAGCTTCTAAACTGGGAAGCTGAAGTTGCTATACCTCAAGGAGTTTGGGAAAATATTTAATATAAGATTCATGACCTAATAGTAAGAATTCTACCATGGAGTTCTGATCTACACTGAAAAGGATCCTAATCCAACATCAATCCTCAACATAAGAAGTACTACTTCAAAGTCCCTAGATTCTCAGATGCACTGGCTAACACCAGGCATTGAAAAAAACAAGAAAAAAGGAGATTTTATTCACTTGTTCATTCATCCATTTGCAGTAATAAAATTTAATCATTGCATGTTTGCTGTTCTAGAATATAACAGAACAAATGTTAGAAATGTCATGTAAGGCCCTGGCTGGCGTAGCTCAGTGGACTGAGTGTGGGCTGTGAACCAAAGGGTCATTGGTTCAATTCCCAGTCAGGGTTGCAGGCCAGGGTTGCATCCGCAACATGCCTGGGTTGTGGGCCAGGTCCCCAGTGGGGGCCATGTGAGAGGCAACTGCATATTGATGTTTCTCTCCCTTTCTCCCTCCCTTCCCCTCTCTAAAAAAACAAATAAATAAAATCTTTCTTTAAAAAAGAAAGTAGTGTCATATAAGTATCAAAATCGTTACATAAGCTATTCAAGGTGAAACCTTTATGCTGGACATAGAGGTCCTAAATAAAAACCAACAAAAAGAAAAATTAAGATAAATTCATGGACCTTTAAAAACTGATTTGATATATTTGTAACTATGAAACAAAGAAATGCTATTATGACAGAATCACAGCTATTTATGGATATGATTTTTAAAACCTCATTTAAGCATTAAAGGGTTGTCTGTCATTTCATAAAAAAGAGAAAAATTAAGGAGAAAGGAAACAGTAAAATGCAATAGGAAGACAGATACTGAAGAATGGCTCACAGTATAAGGCAGGTTATCGGAGGTTTTCCACAGTGGAATTTGAAACGCAGGGAGCACATATGGTGTGTGCTTGTACAGAACTTACACTCAGGGCATTGTTCTGCTACCTCTGCCAGCTGATGAGTGGCTCCTGAGAATGCATACCAAATTAATTCCCCCGCTGCTGACATGCATATAAGCAGCTGCTGCTGTTACTGCCTAATGCTTATGACAGTCTTTCAGCAACTCTAATCTCTGCCATAGCAGATGAGCCACTCATCGAAGGCCTCTCCTGCACTTTCAAGGAAAGAATCTCTGAATTAAAAACTGGGCGGCAGCAGGCTGTAAGCTGTGAGTCTCAGAGCTGCTGGCTGCATAATGCTGGGTCTCTCAGCTGCTGAGCCATTCTTGCTAAAAACAAATGAGCTTAATGAAATACCCCTGTACAGAAATTTCCTGAAATCTGTTTCAGTGAAAAAATCAGAGTTCAACCCACAGAAATCAATTTCACAGATGTTTTAAAAACATAATTTTATAAAGTAGCACATCTGTATAAACACAATGAAAAGAGAGAAAAATCTACAGGAAATGGAAATCAAAATTTTTAAAAAAGAATGTGACAAAACTTAAAGGTTCCATGTATTTTTTACATGACAGCTTATTTTTACAACCATTAAACACTAAGAGGATTTTTAAAATATTAAAAAGCTACTTAGATAGCTCAAATTAAAATATAATTCCTAGTAATATACTTTTTTCAGATTTCTATACTAGTTAGAGGAAAGTCCTATGTTCTCCTCTTCATTAGGCAAAAGCAGCTACAAAGTGCCATTATGGCTCTACGGTCTCAGTTATAAGAAGAAGAAGCAAATATGTTAAATAAATATATCAAACTAATTTAAAAAGAACATTTAAACAACATTTTTGGGTCCTATTTTTTAAAAATATGCATGTATCTTATATTAGAATCAACAATATTTATTAATTATTTAATATTTACTAAAATTATTTATTGTTAATATCAGTAATAGTTTTTTAAAAGTACCTTGATCTTTGTGTTTCTAAAATTTTTCCCAGTCCATTTACTGATCTGAAATAAATTTCAAAGTGAGGAAGAAAAGGCAAAGCAGTGTTAAGTTTTTTTAAGAAGTACACAAGGCACATTATTTCTAAAATATGAAGTAATAAGCATATACAAATATACCTCTAACTAGAAAAAACAAAACTTATATACTGTGTTTTTTAAAGAACACACAGTGTACATTATGTCTGAAATATGAAATAAGCATATACAAATATATCTAGAACTAAAAAAACAAAAAAAATAGAAAACAAAACTTACATAATTTAATTATCCTTTTTCTTTTAATCATAAGTCAGGCATATTTCACTGAGGCATTAAAACAGGATGTGCAAAAATCTACGGCACAACTCAGAGACTACGGGCTGCTTTGTGATTTACGAACAGACCCTTCACTTTAGAAAATGTGATTCATAAATAGCCAGTAACTCCAATGCTCTTAAAATGAGTAGTCAAGTAAAACATTTTATTGATACCCAATATTCCTGAAGCACACTTTGTAGAAATGACTATATACGTTAGAAATAAAAACCTAGCTGGGAGTGACTTTGACCCCAGCCTGTCATCAATACTCACAGTAACACTTAAGTCACACTTTTCAAGTTCTTCTATAGACTAAGCTTTTCAAATGTAAGCAGAATCTCTACCCACTCCACCAGCTCTTCCCTTTCTAATACTAAGATAATAAAATATGGCCCCTGTTATATGGCGTTAGAAATACTTGTTAAATCTTTTTCAACATACTATACACCTGATCTAGCTACCTTTATATCATTAATTCCATTGCCCTTAGGGTTACTTGCCGACGATATTTGCTGTTTGTTCAAGTGTGTTCTCATGGGTAAGGCTTCCTGCATACGATAATTCTAAGGCAAGTCTTTCCACTATTTCACAAAATTCTTAATCTTTTTTTTTGAGTATACTCTATAACATGGTGGCTATTTCCTCTCAAACATGTTTACTTTCTTCCAACTCACCAAATCGAATTCTGAGTCAGTTGTAAGCCTGATGTACAATGGAGTGTGAAAAGCCAAAAGGGTCTGTAATTTATCAACGTGCTTTGCCCAAATTCCTTTCTGGTATAGCTGTGTAGTACAGACTGGCAACAAGCTGGCTGTCAGTCTTGCTGGTACTGGAGATGCAACTTAGTGAGTATAGAAGTGAGTATAGAGAATGTTTGCTACATAGATTGTGTTCTTTTTCTAGCAAACACAAGGATGCACAGGATTTTGAAAAGAGAAACAAAATTTAGGGAACCAATGACAAAAGGGGTAAAAGAAGTAATTTTCATTCACTGGCTCAACTTTTTAGACTTTTCAAAATTGTCAACTACCTTTTTATTTCTTTTTTTATTCACTGTAACTTGAAATTACTTTATAAACTAAGAAAAAAATTACAATCTAATAATGATAGGAGCTAATAGCTCACTTACTATGCACTGGGCACTGCACAAAGTTTACCAACATTATATTCAGGAAGCAGGTATTACTCCTCTATTTTACAGATGAGACTTAAAAAAGTCTCATCGTAAGTCTCATCAATAAAAAGTTTCTTATCGTAAGAAACAGACTGAGAATTAGAACCCAAGCAGATTCTGAAGTCCATGACCTTAAATACTATGCAATACTATCTGCCCTGCACATGGAGACGTTATTACAGCTTTTTAATTAAAGGCTGAGAGAACATTACTATTAAAATAAAACCAACTATGGAGAAAAAATGGATTTTTTTCTTCTGTAATCATTATGATTGCAGCCAATCTCCTAATGAAACTGAGCTTCGTTGATTCAATTTATAACAGATACTATATGAATTAGCACTGACAGATTCAAAATCTGATGTCAGCTGATCATGTCCACTAAAGATGACTAATAATAAAAGCTATTCAATGTCTCTTTAGAGGTGACATTTATTAGTTTAGTTCTTATAAAATAATTCAAAGTCCCTGAACTCTAACCTCATTTGAAAAGTCCAACTACTATTACATCATTTAACACGTATTTGAGTATAATTCATATTATCCTGTATTGATTAGCCTTGGCCATGGACACTGTAGACATTAAAACAAGCTGAAAAACATGTATAGTTAGTAGACAGTTAAGGAAGACAAAGTCAATGAGAGTTCAGGTAAAAGTGAAACCACAAGAGTTTGGGAAGGCTTCACAGAGAAGAGAGGAAGAAAAGGGTGGGGAGGGGAAGGGCTCTAAAGAATGGATAAAATTACTGGAAAAAAGAAGAAAAACAGAGAATAAAAAGAAATTCGAGGACTGGCAGAGGGAGAGAGAACACAATATGAGTAATAAAAGAATTTCACAAGACCCATCTATGAGAAAGGAAGTAAATGATCACCTTGGTTACACTTACAGAACTTTGTGTAAGAAAAAAATCAAAGAGAAGACAGAAAAAGGAGGATGAAGTCAGAAGACCTTGCATATCAGTCTATGAACTTTGAACTATGTTCTGTAAGCAATAGGGAGTAACTTCATATATTATAATTTATATAACAGTTACTTAGGCAACAATGATATATGTGATTCTCTAACGGTACATGGTAAAAATATTTTGTATAGTACACTTTGAATTTGTAGGTACTTAAGACATAATTTTGTACCTAATTGTTGTTCTTAATTTGTTTAAATCCTCTTCTGAAACCAAGTCTGTTTTATTGATGATGATGATATCTGCCAAAGCAACTTGCCTAAATTAGCAAACAAGAACAACTGTCAAAAAAGAAGTGTTAAGAAATTAAAAACTAAGTAAAACATCTCCTTCAGATCAACTGTTAAAAACTATATTAATACTCTATACAGTAATTCAATTTACTCTTAACCTACTTATTCCTCAAATAGTAAGGATAAATTATACTAGTCACTAAAATATTCATATTTCACATTATTCCTTAAAAATATTTAGAGTACTTTCACTTGCTACTCTAGAACTAGAAAGACAAGCCTCAAAAGTTCTATAAACAAGGATGATTTACAATTATGATGATTGTCAACTCATGATTTTCTTTGTAAAGAAAGGTATAAAATTCAGATATACAATATGGTAAAAAATAAGGATGGTCTACATACTAAAATATTCCATGTAATAGTTATCATAATTTTCAAAGAAAGACAGGTGAATAAGTTTATTTAACATTAAAACTATATTAAACAGTTTTTTAAAAAACGACACTTGAGGAGATTTATCAGGATCTCTAACAGTATATACTTCCCCACTAGGAATATATATTCTCTGTAAAACAGATATATGTATGTTCAAGTTAAAGAATCCATTTAACAGAAGGTTGAATAAGAAAATAGCTTTCTATAACTATAAGTTATATATTCTATTAACAGGACTGGTAAAGCTGAGGAGTCTTTAAATTTTCCTCAATGCTTCAGGAAAGTTTAATCACTAGAATGTTTATTCCTAATACTAGTTTTACACTACCTGAAGGTATAGCTGATAAATAACGCACCCAAATTTTCAAAAAAAAATTAACTTGAATTCATTAAAAGCCTCGACTTCAACAGTATGCATATCACAATCCCATTATATGAATAAAGACTGAATGTGCCCATTTCAAAATACCTGTATAAACAGTTGTGATCTTTAAAGTGGACGTCTTTTACGTTTAGCTTTATTTTGGCTTTTATAATATGTTGACATTTGCTATTTGGCTTATTTACATTTTCTATAATAAACATATTTTAATAAAGAGAAAAGTTACAAAGACATTTACGTTCAGTCTCATTTCGATCAAAACCATATATTAAATGCAGTGTTTAGGCAGGATTACAAAACAACAGAGTACCACAATCCAAACCGATGGGGAATCTATCGCTGGCTTGCAGTCTTCATTATTTATGTCTGGATCATCCACTGCAGAGCTCAAGGGACCTCCCTCTTAAACCCAGCAGCATATATAGTAACTGTCATTTATCCAAAACCTTTTTTCCATTAGGGAGAATATGCTTAGGGTAGGCAAACTAACTTAAATATTTATAAGTCTCAAGACAAACTTAACAGGGGCATAAAGGTATTTAAACAAAAAAATCTTCTAAATGTCAAATTAAAACTAGATTCATATTTGTCCCTCTGTTGTTCTGAGTAACAGTGAACATTTGAATCAAATGAATTACTGTTAAAGAAGGCAATAAGTGAGCCAACTTTTTTATAATCATCTTCAATCCCAAAGAAATTAAATGAGGACAAGAAAATATTTTTAAATGTTAACATTTCCCACACACATCACAGAGAACTCCTGTCCCCAGCACTTATTTTATACTATAATAAAAAAGTTTTAAATAAAATTTTAGTTATCAGACCATTATAAACAGTTAGCAGTAATTCAACTACAGGAAAAAAGATAAATTCCTTGACTTATGCTTTCATATTTCTCTGTTTTTGGTTTCATATTAATAATTTTCTTTCTAATTAGCCAGTAATCAATATATACTTTAAATATGAATACCTAGAAGCTTCATTGATAAGGCCATCAGGTTTTTCTTCTGTTAAATGCTAGACAAAAACAAAGTTTGAAAAAAGTTACTGTGGTATAACAAAATCAAATGTTAACACAAAAAATTTTACTTTAGAGACTTCTTTCTTGCCTCTGATAGACTTTAACAAGCTCTACTACTAAATACACAAATTACTTTTCTGTTTGTAATTTTTTCCTACAGTGAACCCACAGGTGCATTTTTTGGGGGGATGGGGATTAAATTGTGTCCCCTGACATCATCTTTTTTTTTAAAAAAAAACAAATCCTCCATATTTATTTATTTTTTTGCAGTTTTATTGAGAAATGATATCATAATGTAAGTTTAAGACATGCAGCATGATTTACATATAGAAAATCGTCCTGAAAATCCTCAGGCATTTTCCTTTTTACAAAATTATTCTTGTTCTAAATATTCATTATTACTTACTTACAAGACAACCACTGAAATTGTACTTTCATAAAATCTAATATACTTCCCCCATTCCTATCTGACTCTAGAGCACTTAGTAACAGGATTTGTTATAGCCTAATATACTTCCCTTAAAAAACTACACTTCAGAAGATTTATCAGGATCTTTAGCAAGTATCTTCAACACTATAAATATGTATATTCTCTGTAAAACAGATACACGTAAATTCAAGTTAAAGAAACCCGCTGACACAATGCCAGTAACAACACAGTCCCACTCCCCACCCCAGAATGGCACAGCACTGGGCCCTTCCCATACCTCAGACACAAATATGCTGAGAGGGGTACAGCCCTAAATCTAGCAGGAAAGCAGTTTATCCTTTATAAACACTTGAGTGATCTGGCCTCTTGATGCAACTGTTTATTTTGCTGACCTCTCCAGAGTCAAGCTAACTCCCAAAAAATATTTTGACATTGACTTTGAGACCCACAGGTAGTTCTCATCTCTCTGGGGTCAGTTGTTATTTTTCCATAATCCTACTTCTATCCCTAACGTTACCAATGCCATAAAGTTCCTCTGAAAAATGTTTCACTTTCATTACCTTACCGCTCAAACGTTGCCTATTTAAAGTCAGAGGCAGTTAAAATTCATATTCTTTGAATATGAATCAAATTTCACAGTTATTAAATCCTTTTATACACATTATCTCATTTAGCCTTCATAACAATTATGGGAAAAGGCTTGTCTCCTCATCTTATAACAGAAGAAACTAAATCTAAAACTGTAACCATCACAGGACACTCTATTATAGGGTTATTTTTTAAAAACTGAAAATGTGCTCAATAGAAGTAAAATGAACATAATTAAAAATCTTTATGAAAGCTTTTCATTTTACAAAATCTGTCTTGTAAACATGTTATTAAAATGTTAATAATTACATAAAAGTATATTCATAAAGATTATCTAAAAATTACATCCGAAATGGTTCGCTGTGCTCACTTTTGGAGCACACATACTAAAAATATTTCACCAAACCAACTTTGTAATTCAAGGGGAGGTAGAGCATTAAGGTATTTGGATAGCTTGAAACCTAGAAGTAAACTGGTAATAATTGTATTTAATAGCATTGGTTACGTCTATAGAGAAAAGCTTTTTTCTTCTAAAGGTTTGCCAAATTCTATTTCAGGGGAAATAAGACTAAACTAAAACTATAGTCATGATGTACTGATTGTCACTTTAGGTACAATCCTAAAATAAATTTACTGTAGACTCACTCAAATCATGGAAGTCACAGACCTTGGAGCATATTGGAGCAAAAATCATACCTTTCCAAGACCAAATTTACTATTTTTGCTAATTATTCTTAGCCTGGGGCTGTAACGAATCCTAATATTGTGTCCTCATGAGAATAAGGCTGTTACCTGGAAAGAATACCTCACACTGAGATTCAACAAATAATTGTTAAATGAATTCTAATTAACACCTCGTATCTGTTGACATAGATACATGAATGCTGTTACTTGAAAAATTCTATACAACACAAAGCAACAAATTCCCTTCTATTCAGTAGTGAATCTATTTAACAAAGATGTATTTTTAGCAAAGCATCTGTTCCTGAATAATCCTGTAATACTATTCTTTTTAAAAAAGATTTTATTTATTTATTTTTAGAGAGAGGGGAAGGGAAGGAGAAAGGGAGGGAGAGAAACATCAATGCATAGTTGCCTCTCGAGTGACCCCACTGGGGACCTGGCCTGCAACCCAGGCATGTGCCCTGACTGGGAATCGAACCAGCAACCCCTTGGTTCACAGACTGGAGCTTAATCCACTGAGCCACACCAGCCAGAGGATAAGAATATTGTTCTTTTAAAAAATATTTTTCAAAACATGATTATTATTGACCATTTGGAAGCTTTATTTAGATATATTGGGTTGGCCAAAAAGTTCATTTATTTTTTTCTGGATGATGGCTCTATTAGTGCTTAGTTGTCTTTAACTTCATTTGAAATAATTTGTTACATTATATTGTGACAACTATCACATCGGCCTGCATTTAAAAAAAATTATCAAAATTGGTGAATTTTTGTGCAGCCATTTTAATATTGAAGATGGAAGAAAATATGCAACATTTTTGGTGTATTATGCTTCATTATTTCAAAAAAAGTAAAACACAGCTGAAACACAAAAAAGGATTTGAGCAGTGTATGGAGAAGGTACTGTGACTGATCAAATGTGTCAAAATTGGTTTGTGAAGTTTCTCGGCACTATTGACACTTTGGCCAAATAATTCTTTGCTGTGGGGCTGTCTTGTGCATTGGAAGATGTTTAGCAGCACCCTGGCTTCTACCCACTAAAAGCCAATAGTAAGAAACAGCTGACATACTCAAAATATCCACATCAACAAAGTTATTGGTGAAAATGAAAAATGTATCTTTTACTTTACAGAAAAGTAAATGGACTTTTTGGCCAACCCAATAAATTTGGGACTAGTGCCTGTGAGCTGGTACAGAATAAAAAAGGTATGGCAAGTTTTGAATTTCCATACCTAAATGGAACTAATAAAATAGTAGTTTCACAAAGTAATTCATGTTTTTAATGCACTTACTAATACTTCTCCAGAAGATTAGAAATCTTCACTCAAAGCTAAACGGGAGAGATGGATAATGCTTTAATACCTCCAGGCAGCCAAGAATTACCACATATAAAAACACATTAAAATTTTCTAAAATAAAAACCTGCCAATACATATATCTCTATTAAGAATATGGTATGGCTCAGTGGGTTGGGCATTGTCCTACAGACCAAAAGGTTGCAGGTCTGATTCCTGGTTGGGGCACATGCCTGGGTTGTGGGCCAGTTCGTGGGTTTGGGGTGTGTGAGAGGCATCCAATAATGTTTCTTGTCTTGCACATTGGTGTTTTTCTTCCTCTCTCTCACTCCTGTCTACAAATAAATAAAATGCTGGGGAAAAAATATGACATGTGCCCTGGGCAATGTGGCTCAGTTGGTTGGAGCATCTTCAAATAATCAGAAGGTCATGGGTTTGGGCTAGTGTATGTCTCCACACCATGCCCCTCTCCTCTCTTGGAGGGTGAATAAAACTTTACTCTCTACACTCCCTTCTCTTTGTGAATTCTTTCACAGCCCACGTCAGTGACCACCCTAATATTTTGGTGTCCTGTACAGGGACATTCTCTACTTCTCCCTCTCCTCCAGCCCCCTGAGACCTGTGGCTAGCAGAGCAGGGGGCAGCAGAAGCGCAACCCTGGCTAACCCTCTAACTCTGCCTCTGAGAGGTTCAGAGAGGGAATCTTAATCCTTCTCCTCTGTCTTTCTGGACTCTGTGAACAGCCTCCTCCTTATCCATCTTAAAAAAAAAAAAGAAAGGTCATGGGTTTGATTACCAGTCAGGGTATATATACCAGGGTTGTGGGTTTGATCCCAGTCAATGCATGTATGAGAAGGCAGACCATCGATGCTTCTCTGTCACATCAATGTTCCTTTCTTGCTCTCTCTTCCCCACCTTCCTCCCTCTCTGTCCAAAAGCAATGAAAAAAAAAAAGTCCTCAGGTAAGGATAAAAACCAAAAAGGAATATGACAAGTAATAATCACATAAAATTACAGCCAAAGAGATAAATGCCCTGTTCTACGCACATGTAAAAACTATACAGGACAGGCAACATGGCGGAGGAGTGAATGGAAGTCACACTAACACCCTGCCAGGACCAATCTGGAATTTCAACTAAATACTGGAGAAATCACCCAGAACAAACAACTGAACAATAGTGAGGAGAAGCCTTATAACCTCAACAGACAGAAGAATCAGCTTCAGCACAACCTGACTGGTAAGAAGTGCATTGGAGACTCGAGAAGGCTGGCTGGGCGCCCACAAGCAGCAGCGCTGGAGGGATAAATAAGCAGCAGCTTGGATACCCTGAAAAGAGTGGGATGTAAACCCTAAGCTGGGACCCCTGGCCTAGAGCACCAGAGCCCAAAAAGTATACAAATAACAACCACTAGCAAAAAGATGTAGGGTTGTTCTCTGCCAGAGATGGAGGTCTAGAGATGTAAACAGTTGTTTAAAGGGCCAACACACACATTTTAATTTGTAGCCACTTATCCTGGGCTCCAGCAAATAGGGGGTACAGAGAGGGCTAGAGACAGCTGAGAAAAGACTGGAAACAGAGGCTTTGGGGAAAGAACTGAGAAAGTAGCCTGGTGTTGAGTCATTTCCCATATGGCAGTGGTCATTCTGCTCAGGCAGACCACTCCCTTTTGAGCAGCAGCAGCCTGAGGGAAAGCAATAGCCCTGTCCCCAGGAAGGCCTCTGCCCTACCTTATGGTGTTTAAACCTGACTACTGCGTGCAGAATGAATAGATTAACAACTGAAGGAGAGAGCCACAGACAGAAGATCCCTGGAAGTCGCCAACAGGCTGCCTAAGGTCAAACAGGGTCAACATCTGACGTCACTAGAGGCGGATCCAGAAAGAAAAAATAGTGGTAAATACTAGGGACTACTAAGATGAAATCCACTGTGGTGTTCTCCATGATTTGCTATATTTTCTCACCTGCACAGCTTTTTAACATTCATTTCTTATCCTTCAA